AAGTCGTGACTTGGGAACAGCTTTGTGTCTGATTGTGTGTTTCAGTTGCATGCATTTGGAATGTAGTCTTTGGTGCCTCTAAAGGTGGTTGATCACATGGCTTTTGTCAGGTTTCCTCCCCTTTTCTGCTTCCCTAATCCCATTTTAGGCTTATTTATTAGGTAGACTCAGGAAGTTTCAAATAGACTATTTGCAAATTATAAACCACACTTAAAAAAAAAACCCTTGCAAATAAATCCACTGTTTTATTTTTCCAGTATCACAGTCTCAGTAAGTGAAACAGACCAGATTCCTTCCATGACATTACCCACCCTTCTCAATCTCTCTGGACACAATACAATTGAGTTAAAATATAAACCGATATTTTGCTACTTCTATTAAGTTGGAAGAACATAATCATTGGTATTATAAGCGAAGCACCAAAAGAAGCCAAGGATGGAATGAACTGGAACGTGAAATCTCACACCTTTCCAGCTCTTACAGAAGCAACAAAAAGGGGACACTAGACAAGGAAAATGTACTTCGCAAGCCTTTTGACTCACATTAAGAAAACTAATTAAGTTCAATAGCCTTATGAATCCGTGGAGAAGAACACAGATGGATGCAGGTGGATAACAAAAGACTATGGTTTATTGAACAAGATGGACAAGGCGATATTCTCTTTACATTCAATGAGTTCAGGAAAAAAGAAGCAAAACATGCTATACACACAAACGTGATACTTTGGTTAAATATCATTCAGAAGTTCTATGTTAAACCTGGTAAAACTATAGGACGAACAGTCAAAAAAAATAATAGGGTTGCATAGATGGATTATTGTCAGTGTACAATTTACATTTATGGGTTAGCTGTTAGAACACAGGGTGCATTTGCAGCTCTGAGGGAGTTAGCCACTTGACTAATTAATTTTACTCTATGGCTAATATCTCCTTGCCCCAGGCTGAAAGCTTACCCTGAAGAGCTACATTAGTTACTTCTCTGAGGTGGTTAGCTGTATTGCAGTGCATAAACACAGGTGGAGACACAGCAGAATCTACTTAAAGAGAACACTGATACAGTGAAACTGTTTATTGGGACAAAGACAGTACTGTAGTTAAGGGGGCAGTGTTTGTCTCCACCACTGCCCTTTGCTGGATAGAGTCTGAACTGCGTCTCATTATAGGCCCTGTGCTGCTAATTGGTAACGGAGCGACATTTCTAGCTCAAGAGGCAGGGCCCTGTGCTTTCAGCGCAGGAGGTGCTGAGTTCTAGGCCTGCTATAGCCATTGTGTGCAGCATAGTGACAACGACCGTGAAATTATTAGAGAACCACAAGGTCTGTTACAGCATCATCTTAAAAAATAAACTGTGCAACTGCTACCGATAGTGATTAAAAATATCTTCTCAACAGAAGCAACCAGCTATTGAGGGATATATACAGCTCCAAGCTGCATTGCCGAACCTCCCATCACAATCAGTGCTGCCCCATAGGTGTCTCCCAAACCAACAAAATGAGGGGAAGTCAAGAGAGCTCTGGAGACAAGGGGCCAAGAACTGTCCCCTGCACTGGCAGATGGGCAAAATTCAACTGCAGATCTGGAAAATGATGGGGCAAGTGCAAATTCAAATGTTGTTCCCTGGTGCTGCAGGAGCCCTTCCATAACAACTCTGCTTGGATCGAGCTTCCCCGGGGGCAAGGCCCGTGGGACAACCCAGATCCCACTTCCCCCTAGGCATAAGTGTTGTGCCCATCCCAGTCGTATCTCAGCACAGCCGCACTGGCTCTGCAAGGCTCCCAGCACTGAGAACCTGCTTAGGGCGGCAGATGCCCGGGAGGATATGCTGCATAAGAAGGCCACTTTTGATTATTTTACTGATTGGCCATGCTGGGTTACAAGAGCACAAGGTAGGCTGGGGATTCTGCAGCCTTTAAATAAAAGCATGGTCTCTGCACTGCCTCCAAAACGTTCCCGCTCGTGGAAATCATCAATCTGCAATCCACAGTTAGCTTGCACACAGGCTAATATTAATCAACAATTAAATCCCGAATTAAAAAATACATACGTACATACATCAATCCAGTGTGGTAAGTTGAATGAATACTCTATGCTGGAACAGCTGGTCTGATTTGGCACAAAATAAAAATCACAGAAGTGGACTATAAAAAAATCCATTTTTTCCTGTATTAAAGATGAATTGTCTCAATTCCCATCTTAAAAGGCCTGCCTGGCTGCAATATAAAAATACTGAACATACAAGATCCCTTTGTAGAGCTAAGCAGATTTCAGCTGTTGTAGATTCTACCCTCCCTCCCCATGAGGGAAGTCAAATGATAAAAAATAACCTACCAATTAAAAAACGTTTTTTTCACAACAGTAACCAGAAAGTCCTTTAAAAGCCATGAGGTTAACCTGCGGCCTCTGTCTCCCATTGGCATCCTCCATTCTCCTCCTTGTACAGTACAGGTCTTAAGATGGCAGGCTGGATTTATTTTATAGCACGCTGACTCTGATCAGAACGGCTACGGTGTCGACTACCCTGGGATTAAGGCACGATCACTCGGTTCGCCTAACCTCGCTCCTCAAAGATCGCTACAACTCTTGTGCTTTGGACGGAAGACCAGGTGGTGGCGAGAACGTCAACCAAGACCGGTTATGGAAATCCGTTTGCTTCCCGCTCTTGTTGTACGAAGTGAGCTGCACACATCAAAGCTTCAGGCGGCATTAGTGATGTGTGCCTGCCAGCTAAGGAAACTCGGGAAGCAACGGGCTTCACTGCCATGCACTTTCTGTTGCTTGTCATAAAGCACACAGGAAGAAATGCAACAGAGGTGGGAACGACACTGGCAGGGTTTTCTGGCCTTTTGCCGAATACGTTTTAATTCAGAGCAAGGCAATAGGCCAAGCTACTTAAACGGGGCAACAGAAAGGTCAGTTCCCTGGCTTTCCATCAGGGAAAGAGCACATAGCCCAGGTTGGGTCTTATTAGAATCATCACTGACACCAACCAACCAGCCGGAGCTTTAGCTCTAAGGGCCAATGTCATGTCTGGCATAAGCAGCGGCCACTCTACTGATAGCAGCAGAGTCATTCATGGCTGCTTAGGCCTGTGCTGAATCAGGTCCTCGATCTTCCACCTATTGACGACCTGATCCTTGCTCAACAGATGCCTATTGACTTCAACAGGAGCAGGGCTGGGTCCTTAGGGCCTGATCCAGTTCTCATTCAAGTCAACGGGAGCTTTGCCACCTAACTAAGCATCTTACGTCCCATTGACTTCAATGGGACTTGAGCACCCTTCTTGAATAGGAATGCTTTCCAGAATCGGGCCCGGACACAGGAGCAGGATCGGGCCCTTAAAGACTTTCCTAATGGGGATAAGATGGAAACTGCAGCCTCCAGTCGGGGCGCGGGAGGAGAAAAACATCATTAGCTGCCAAACCCCAATAGGAGCTGAGCGCCAGGGGTCGGATTCTCCCCGCCTTGTGACGTCATTTAGACTTGCACAAAGCCACTGTAAAATGCAACCGTATTCTGATTTGGCAACTTTTTATACCTCCCGGATGACCCGAGGGGCAGGACCTGGTCTTGGACCATTTGAGAGTTGTCAGTACAGAAACTGCCCCCAGCCCCCGTTCCATTTCGCAACACATGCAGGTTGGGGGAATGCAGGAAAAGACAGGAAAGTGGCGTTCTCGGCAGTAGAAATGTTGACTGTTCCATGAAATATAAAAATAAACATTTATAACATAAAAACCTTGCAAATGGCACCAGCACATTTGCCAAAATTGTCAAATAAAAAATACACTATGCACCTTGGGATTGTTTCCTTTAACACTCCGTTAACACTTCTGACGAGATGGATGTGGGGCAATTGAAAGAGCCGGAGACAAAGGGCAGTCAAATCTAGCCACAAGCGGGGCTGTTTCCTGAGAAGAGGAAGAGAGAGCTGCCGAGTCCCCTGGAGAGAGGCAGAGGGGAAAGCAGGCACGCTCCTGTGCACTCTGGAGACGTCGGCCTGAGTCCATTCAACAGCAGGGGATACCAACAATGCAGAAAACCCCCGAGTTATTTCTAACTCACCTAAGCCTTCTTTTCATTCAGAACAAAGGTGCGTTCTTGACTCACACGAGCTAACAGAGGCAGTGTGGCCTGATACATAGAGCACTGGATTGGGACTCAGAAGACTGGGTTCTAGTCCCCGCTCAGCCACGGGCCGGTTGGGTGACCTTAGGCAAGTCACCTCTCCTCTCTATGCCTCAGTTTCCCCATTTGTAAACTGCTTTGAGGTCTACAGCTGAAAGGCGCTGCATGGCAGCTATTGTTATAACACAGGGTAACTAATCTGAGGTAAAATCCTCGTGAAGACCAGGCAATTTGTAGTTTTCACATGAGTTAGAAGGTCAGGGTAAACTAGGCTGCTCCATAGCCTTTAACTCGACCTGCCAGCTACCGACTGCCTTGTCTTCGCTAGGACTTACCTTAGCTGGGAGTTAAGAACACGCCTTTTTTTTCCCTAGCGAAGACGTGGCCTTGGGGCTGGATTGGGGCCCATCCTGCAGACCGCTACAAAGGAGCGGAGGGGGCAGAAGCATTCCTTACTCCCTTGTGCCAGCACGGTGCACCATCGCTTCATGCGAGCAGGCTCTGGAGAGCCGCTGCGTTCCCCACCTCTCTGTGCGCCCAGCAGCATCGTGACCCTGGCAGGTCAGGGAACCAAGGGATGCACTAAGCACAGACTCAGTGCAGTTTACTGCCTCTCTGGGGTAGCAGCAATTCAGGGAGTTTCCCTCCCAGGCTGCTCACCAATGCACAGCCACTGACTTGCGGACTGGCCACCTAGCCCTTATTGGCTGGATAGGCTTAAGAACTTACTGTACGTCTATGGTCAGCTTTGCAATTCAAATGTATTTGCACAGAGATTGACAAAAACGCTGAGGTTGAAAGACCTGGGAGGCGGTTCGGGAGGTACTCGTCTCCCATGGGGCGGGGGGGGGGGGGGGGGGGGAAGGACACAAGGATCAGTGCAGAAGAGAACCTAGGCGGGTATCTTCGATTGACAGAGGATTCCTGCACTCTGGGAAGTGATTACGTCGTCATCTTCACATGGCATCTTAAACAAACAGAGACTGGGTGCTCTTCTAGAAAACACGCTCTGGTTCAGCCACAAGTTATCGGGCTCAATGGTGTAAAGAAGACTAATTTCCCCCATTTTTCCTGGGTGAGGTTCTCTGACCTGTGCCGTGCACAAAGTCACCCCAGATAATCATAATGGTCCCTTTTGGCCCTATGGTCCATGAATTTATATTCCTCTCTGGCTCCACCACTGACAGCTGCATCAAGAAATTGAAAACTTCTTAAAAGCAATACATATGAGACGTACAGCAAGAGCTGAAGTTTTACAGCCCCTTATTCAGAGGCCTGACTCGGACATAGAAGCATGTTACGTGCGTCACCCAAAGGGTGTTTCCTAAGAAGTGACAGCACAACAGAGACTTTGTAGACAGAACAGTTTTTTCTCCAAAGGGCATGAAGTCCGAGCATCCTGCTGGTAGATGTACGAAGACGCATTCATCTTCATGCCAACTACCATGGAAAATATCAGTTGCTCTGTGTTGATTTGGCTCCGTTTTCTCACTCAGTACTCGGGAAGATGTGCATTCCCGGTTACCACAGAAAGCTGTGGGTCATCTTAGTCACATGTTAATCTCCATCCTATTTCTTGATTTCTGCATTGCCATAATCCACCTCACATCTTGGACTTTTCCCCCCAATTGTCTCCCTCTCTCTCTCAAAAAAAGATCAAGCCACTAATTGTCAAAGATGCAGCTGTAGCTAAAAAGGGATTCAGAGGGCTGGAAAGGTGTTGTCAGATCAGCTAGCTGGGTACAGCTGGTCAGCTACACAGTGGCTAGATTTTACTGCGCTACTAAAGTGATCACAAACAACCGGGAAACCAGAATGAACATACACTACTTATTGACATGACATTTAAAAAGGAAGAAGTCCTGAGGATGGAACTCGAGTTGGGTAAAGGAAATGAGAAGTTCTCCTGGGAATTCCAGTAACGTTTGCTACAGAAGAGAGTCAGTATCAATGCAAAGTCTAGCTTTTTACTGCTTGTAATGGAAACCTATAAAACAAAAGGGAAAAATCAGTTAGCACAGAGCAGGGGTTCTCAAACTGGGGGGTCATGACCCCTCAGGGGGTCACAAGGTTATAACGTGAGGTTTGCGAGCTGTCAGGCTCCACCCCCAAGCCCCGCTTCACCTCCAGCATTTAGAATAGTGTTAAATATGAAAAAAATGTGTTTTTAATTTGTAAGGGGAGGTCACACTCAGAGGCTTGCTGTGTGAAAAGGGTCATCAACAGAAACATTTGAGAACCACTGGCATATAGCTCAGTGAGGATGACTGGATCTAAAGCTTTCTTCTAGTTCTTAGCTGCCCTGCGGCTGGTTTAACTGTCTGAGTGTTGGTGCATTCAAAAATTCAGAAGTGGGGAAGGTGGACTATTAGGGTCAGTAAAAGGTTCAGGAAACACCTGGATAGGTCCCCGGAAAAGGCAAACCCTTCAATTGCTCTCAGTCTGTGAATGGCCCACCAGCGAGAACGGCACTAGGCACTGATTCAGCATCTAGTAACCTATATGAAGTGCCCCCAACATCTCCCCTCCCTTTGACATAAGCTAGCCCCACCCCTTCCTCTCCAGCTATGGAAGCTGGACAATGAAGGGACCCCCAGCCTCAAGCGATTTCAGAAAGCACCGTGCTTAGATGCTCTAGTGACGAGGGCTATGGAAAAACCACAGACAGGCCGATGCGCGCGGCAAGTCTAGCGCTCTACAGAAAAGCCTCAGCCTGGTCATCCACCAGCCAGACAACTCTTTGAAGGTTTCCTAATGTGTAGGATTGCTCTGTGTAGCAGGATGAGTCAGCTGAAGCCCACTGCTTTGCTGCCTTCACACCATTCCCTCTCATCCTGCGCCTTGGAGTTAGTCACGCGTGAAAATGAAACTGTTAAACCCTCCTGCTCTTGTTCTTTATTGTGTGTTCTCAAGAGGCATCATTTAGCTCTTAGATGTAAGCTCTTTGGGGCAGGGACTTGAGAACAGAGGGTTTATGGAGCAGGATCGTGTGTCTGTAGGGTGCGATGTGATATTCTCTCTATCTATCCACACACAGCAGCCACCAGAAAGTGATGTTTTTCAGGCTGATTATTTGAACTGAGTCACCGATGTGGACGCAGTGCTGAAGCAGTTATGGGCCGCTCTTCTTACCTTTTGGAGAAGACTCAGGTTTAGAAAACTGACGCACGGAGCTAGGCTGGCTTGTAAAACCACGACTGTGATCGAAGTCGTCCAGTTCTGTGACTGGAGGCGGCGGCGGCCTGCCAAGAACAGAAAGAAAACAAAGTCAGGAAAAAAATTACAGCAACAATGAAGCACCCAAAATAATACCCTGGAGCACATCCTGCATGTTGGCAGCAAAGACGTCTGTGCTGTTTGATCTCCTGGGCTGAACTTTTATTCACAGATTTCATTCACAGATTCCAAGGCCAGAAAGGACCATTGTGATCATCCAGTCTGACCTTCTGCATAGCCCAGGCCAGAGACCTGCCCCACAATAATTCCTGAGCAGAGCTTTTAGAAAAGCATCCAGTCCTGATTTAAAAATTGCCAGTGATGGAGAATCCACCACAACCCTTGGTAAGTTGTTTCCAATGGTTAATTACTCCAATTGTTAAGTTATGCATTATTTCCAGCCTTTAAGGCTTTTAAATAGTCTCCTTTTAATAGATGTGGTCAGAATTTATTGAATGAAAAATTGTGCCATCTAAAAATAGGCCTCTTCTCACAGACATTTCTCAATGTTCTCCAAATATGTCGCATTTATGTAACTGAAAATTTTCATTGGATAATGGTTTCAATGTGTTTTCAGTACGCGAAACATTTCAATTGGGAAATTAGATAAAAACATACCGTGATCAATTCTGCAGTGAAAATAGGTACATTTTGAACTTTGCAAAGTGAGAACAGGTCTGAAATTCTAATATTTGTATTGATTCCTCCCCTACCCCCCCCCCCCCGACCAGCTCTCCCTTTTATTCATTTAAAAAAAAAAAAAAAAAAAACTTTATTAGTCTCATCCCAGTAACAGGGCTTAAAGCCACCAAGCTCAACACTAGCGTTTGACCCCGCCTTGCAGGCGCTGTATCAGTGCATGGGAAGGTTGTAATATGGGCCCCCAACCACTCAAGCGCAATGTGGTGAACCAGTAAGATTCACCCAGTTGCAATGGATTGTCTGTACTCAGGCAGTTGTCTGACTTCAGTGTGTCTGTGAGTCAGACAGAGAGAGAGAGAGAGAGGGGCAGTGCACGTGTCTCCGTTTATTAACGCTGCATAGAGACAACCGTGGTGTCCATTTGATTTCAGACATTCAAAAGCAGCCGCCCAAACTCCTGGAGACATTTAACCCACTCAGAGCCGCCTGGCCACTTATCAAGTGCCGCTGCCCAAGCTCAGCTATCTTTGCCACTGTAAGATGGGGACTCTTCAGTGGCTAAATGCCATGGACCCATATAAGCCAACACCAAACCTCAAGGAGCACCTCACAGGGCCCTGCACCTTCCATCCCTGTTCAGTGTTCAAGCCCCTGCACTCCCCCGCCTCCTGTCATTTCCCAGTATTTGCTCCCTGAGATTCAACCCTTTGATTGTTTCCTCGGCGGATTTGCCCAGTTTTACAGCTCACCGTGCCGGTTTGTCACTCTTGGGTCTCTGAGGTTCAAGCCTTTCTCTTGACCTTGGACGCGCGGATTCGCTTGTGTCACGCTGAGGGGGAGAAGAGAAGGCGGCAGGTCACTGGGGAGCCACATACTTTCCTTACAAAACATGGGCCAGATTGTCCAAAGTAGCCACCTGCGACTGCATGAAAGAAGCTGTGACCACATACACCCATTCAGCAGGGAGCAAACCTGGGAACTCCCAAACCAGAACCACCGGCTTCTAGAGCCAAGCTCCTTTTGCTGTAAATACAAGGCAGGTTGTTATGTTGTTGGGGCCTGTTACTAGCAGGGGACACAACTATATGCATTAAGCCAGAGGATGACACACACAGATCCATTGTGCACAGTGCGCCAGAGATCTAGCTGACAGTTTGCATGTGCAAATACATGTCATTTGCACAGGCACATTGGGTCAGGCATATGCAAACGAGTGTCTGCAACAGTGCAAGCCTAACTTTGAAAATCTGGCCAGACAGCGGACAGGCTGACCTAGCGCAGTGGCAGACATGGGCAGAGGTAAACGCACCTAAGACTCACGCTACGCCATTTTTAGTCTCTACAGAACCTGGAGCTACACTACTTCCTATCACCTCCCAGCCCGCCCTTTGCAGAGTTACTTCAAAAGAGGCGTCAATCCCCTGGTTATGCGACGGTTTCTTTAGAATGGAGACTCAGTTGTTCTTCCCTCAGAATGGCCAAAAATGGAACAGGTCTACGGTGCGTCTAATCTATCTCCTGTACCTGGCAGTGGCCAGCACTGACTGTTGCGGGAGGAGGTGTCAAATGCCTGTGACTTTTCAAAGTGCAGGCCACATTTTCATACAGCGACAGTCTCACGGCTGCTTCCCCCCCACGTGAGTCATATTACCCATCCCTGGGGCAACTACAGCAAATGCATAGGTGGAGAAACACTAGGAAAAGTACTTAATGACTCTTCCGCTGTCTTTGAAGGCAATTTGGCAGCTGGAAATAAAGAGAAGCCAGCACCATGTGACTAGTTACTTCTCCACGAACCGCTGGTGGTTCACAGATAGTGGGGGAACCTCTGCCACAGCACACACCTAATTGTCCAATACTTGCACCAAAGGGGGAACTTCCCTCGGACTTCAGCAGAAGATCAGTTTCTGCCAGCTAGCTTGGAAATTCACCACAGTTGTAATTCTTCTCCTGCCTAGTCTAACTGCAGTTCCCCTTCTTGTTCATTGAAATGGCCTCTTCTGAAACGCACGAAGTGAACACCTAAGCTGCACTTTCAGACCCGCAGCAGCAAGTCTCAGAGCCCAGGTCTAAACTCGGGCTTGCGCTAAAAGCAGCAGTGTAGACGTTACAGCTCAGGTGCTGAAGCGCAGACCTACCCTAAGCTGCTTGTTCTTAAAGGGCTGCGCCACTGCATGCCTGGCACTGCTACCGCATCTCCCCACCCAAGACTGAGTCACAAATCTGACCCAGCTGGCGTGCAATCGGCAGAGCACAAGGCCACATAACTCCACTCTACTGCCAGCTTCCAGGAGGTTAATTGCAGGAGAGGACGGACTAATTCACGGCCACGCAGACAGCACGTTTCGAATCATATTGTGCTCCACACATCAGTCAACTCTGGTATAACAGGTCCCTGCCCTCACTTCACTCTGGCTCTTCGCTCTTCAGTCCATCTGATCAATGAAACAGAGCCCCATCATCGTTAACGGCTACCACCCAAAGACGGTGAGCATTACAGCAGTGCCTTGTTGCCGCTGTACACGCCAGAGGACATCTGCAGGGTTTCAGACACAAGCTGCAGAATTTCTTCAGGGGCTTGGGGCCAAGATGAGATGCTGAGAACCCACAACGTGAGAGGGCTTAAACAGGTGCAGCGGGTCATGGTGCTCGGCACCTTTCAGGATCAAGCCCTTTAACATTTTCCACTCGAGCTATTCTCCTGTTTTAACCCTCCAAGTGCCGGCATCTTGCAATCTGGACTGACACCACCTCTATCTACCCCACTTCACCTATGCCTCAGCTACCCCATCTGGAAAATGGGCACAAAACCACTCGCTTTGTAGGGGTGTTCTGAGGCCAAGCGTACCTTCCAGTCTTGGTCCTGCCTTTTCTTTTCAAGAGAGGACTTCTCTCGGTCCTTCGTTTTCTTATAAGCCTTCTTTTCCTCCGCCATCAACAGGTGAGCTATCTCCTAACAGAAAAAATACAAGACCCATGTAAGAGAGCTCTGGCTTTATTTTGATTTCAAGCAAATTTAATGCTTTCCCACTGTGTTTTACAATTTCCGCTGTTCTCAGAGGACCTAGGGATGGTGCTTTTTGCCCACTTGCCATCACGGGCGCTTTGATCCCCCATCTGGCTGGCTGCAGAATGAGATAGCTGCAAAGCCCCTGGGTTTCGAATTCACTGTACATCTTACTAGCTGACCTCACCATCACCAGATTGAGCGGGAAGCTGGACGAAACGGCCAAACCTGCTCTTCGATTCCGTTGCCTTTCTGGGCACGCCAAGGTGCAAAGCGTCGGCAAAGTTAAGTGAAGGGTGAAATCCCAACTCCACTGATGTCAATGGCAAAGGTTCCCTTGACTTCGCGGGGGGCTAGGACTTCACCCGAAGCCCTTGCCAGAAAAGAGGCGACACTGCGGTGATGGGGCAGATTATACACTGCATGCATCGCCCATCGCTGTTGGTTTCTGATTTGGTGGCAGGCCAGTCTGGATCGGGACACCCCCTTTCTGCCCTTTGTTTCTTCCCTCCCCCTCCCCAAAGGTGGGGTTTCTCTGACAATCCCCCTCAGGGCTACTAGAGTCACTCGTATGTGGCCAGCATCAGGATCTGGCAATGGAGGAAAAGGCTGGGCTGCAATCAGGAAATGCAATTTACTGCCCTGAAGTCTCGAGAGAGTAAGAAGAGGTGACAAGCAGACAGAGCCCTGCAAGGATGGAGGGACAGGGGGCAGTGCCAGAGGGGGGGACCTGAGGCAGACAGACATTTCTCATGAACCATGGACTATTTAGAAAAACTGGATGAGCACAAATCCATGGGGCCGGATGCGCTGCATCCGAGGGTGCTAAAGGAGTTGGCGGATGTGATTGCAGAGCCATTGGCCATCATCTTTAAAAACTCATGGCGATCGGGGGAGGTCCCGGATGACTGGAAAAAGGCTAATGTAGTGCCCATCTTTGAAAAAGGGAAGGAGGAGGATCCGAGGAACTACAGGCCAGTCAGCCTCACCTCAGTCCCTGGAAAAATCATGGAGCAGGTCCTCAAGGAATCAATTATGAAACACTTAGAGGAGAGGAAAGTGATCAGGAACAGTCAGCATGGATTCACCAAGGGGAAGTCGTGCCTGACTAACCTAATTGCCTTCTATGATGAGATAACTGGGTCTGTGGATGAGGGGAAAGCAGTGGATGTGTTATTCCTTGACTTTAGCAAAGCTTTTGATACGGTCTCCCACAGTATTCTTGCCGCCAAATTAAAGAAGTATGGGCTGGATGAATGGACTGTAATGTGGATAGAAAGCTGGCTAGATCGTCGGGCTCAACGGGTAGTGATCAATGGCTCCATGTCTAGTTGGCAGCGTTTCCAGCAGAGTGCCCCAAGGGTCGGTCCTGGGGCCGGTTTTGTTTAAGATCTTTATTAATGATCTGGAGGATGCTGTGGACTGCACTCTCAGCAAGTTTGCAGATGACACTAAACTGGGAGGCGTGGTAGATACGCTGGAGGGTAGGGATCAGATACAGAGGGACCTAGACAAATTAGAGGATTGGGCCAGAAAAAACCTGATGAGGTTCAACAAGGACAAGTGCAGTGTCCTGCACTTAGGACGGAAGAATCCTATGCACTGCTACAGACTAGGGACCGAATGGCTAGGTAGCAGTTCTGCTGAAAAGGACCTAGGGGTCACAGTGGACAAGAAGCTGGATATGAGTCAACAGTGTGCTCTTGTTGCCAAGAAGGCTAACAGCATTTTGGGCTGTATAAGTAGGGGCATTGCCAGCAGATCGAGGAACGTGATCATTCCCCTTTATTCGACATTGGTGAGGCCTCATCTGGAGTACTGTGTCCAGTTTTGGGCCCCACACTACAAGAAGGATGTGGAAATATTGGAAAGAGTCCAGCGGAGGGCAACAAAAATGATTAGGGGTCTGGAGCACATGACTTATGAGGAGAGGCTGAAGGAACTGGGATTGTTTAGTCTCCAGAAGAGAAGAATGAGGGGGGATTTGATAGCTGCTTTCAACTACCTGAAGGGGGGCTCCAAAGAGGATGGAGCTCAGCTGTTCTCAGTGGTGGCAGATGACAGAACAAGGAGCAATGGTCTCAAGTTGCAGTGGGGGAGGTTTAGGTTGGATATTAGGAAACACTATTTCACTAGGAGGGTGGTGAAGCACTGGAATGCATTACCTAGGGAGGTGGTGGAATCTCCTTCCTTGGAGGTTTTTAAGGCCCGGCTTGACAAAGCCCTGGCTGGGATGATTTAGTTGGGAATTGGTCCTGCTTTGAGCAGGGGGTTGGACTAGATGACCTCCTGAGGTCCCTTCCAACCCTGATATTCTAGGATTCTAACCACCATTCTCAGCCGTTTGGTTCAAATGATTAAACTCTTAGAGGGACAGGGGCTCACCTCATCCTGGGCTACTTGCGCTGCCCTCTTATCAACCTGGTTGGCCTAGAAAAAGAAAAGCAGAACCTGAGACGCCTCGAGTCAAATCGAACAATAGCAAAACACGCTGCTCGGGGCCTGCCTAGAATCACACCGCTCTCTGCTCCCCAAGCACGTCAACCCTCTCCGCGTTTGTCTCGCGAGCCAGGTTAAAGTGACCAGCTTGGTTTTTAAAACCCTCCAGATGTTTTGCTCTAGTCCTCCCCCTGCCCGCCCCCAGTCACAACTCATCCTGCTCCCCGCCCCATCCAATCCCAGTCTCCTGCATAGCTTTTCCCAGCATCAGCGAGAGAGACTCCTCCTCTGCACCTTCCATCTTCCCATGCTCCCCTCTTGCATCTGTCTACCTCCTCCGCCCTGTTGCTGATCACCCCTTGGCTCTCCGCCCCGCCTGTGCCACCTAAGATGTGTCTGCCTCGGTCATTCCCAGACTCTGCCCAGTGCTCTGGGAAAGACTGGGTGTGCGTGAAAGAAACGATACAAAATCAAGTTGCATTTACTGAAAACTGCGCAAGGTCACTGTTCCAATGAATGGAATAGGACCCAAAGCATTTAGGGACAGGTTTTTAAAGGTATTTAAACACCTAACTCCCATCGCGCCTAAATACCTTTAAAAATCTGGCCCCTTACATGACAGCTGCCCATTAGCTCTCAACAGCAGCTGACACTGGCCAAGGGGTTAATTCTCCAGTCTCTCGTTAGTTAATTGTTGCCATCTCTGCTCACCAGAAGCTCTTCCTCTTGCAGTTTCCTAGCGATCTCTGCATCATATAGCTCCAGGTCCCTACGGGCCACTCGGGGTTTGGCATAAACAGCTTCTTTTGTCCCCCTCGACTTCAATCCTGCAAAACCAGGAGAGAAATCAAATCCCTCAGCTCCCACGCAGCTCTGAATGGGACCACCCCCACCCCCACCCCTGCAATAGGCTACTTTCCCAGAGGCCCAAACGGGCTCTGCTCAGAAGGTTCAGAGATCCATTACTGGAGACAGCGACACAGGAAAAGCCTGTCTGAAATGCTGGGCTCTGCAAAACCAGCCTGGGACAGGCTCTCGTGAGATTTCTGGCCATTACTGTCCCGATTGGTTCACAAATTCAGCAAGGACAGCTCTTCTTTTGGAGAGAAAATAATTAAACAAAGACTTCTGAATCTCATACAAGGTTCAGTTCTTGTTCTGGGCAGAAAGTGGGGTCAAACCACCCCTATTTTAGATGGTTTCCACAATGGGACAATTTTAGAGCCAGTCCAGACTCCCTTTTCACCAGGTGTTGGAGAGAGAGTGGGAGGAAGCTCAGGGGTTCTCCTCATCCCTGTTGGACCAGATACAAGGATGCTGCACTTAATCAATGAGAGCCCTATCTTGCTTGCATCTTCAGACGCTGGGCTACAATACTCTGATCTCAGGATCATCCAGCGAGTGCCTCTCTCTGCATCTGAGATCATCCCTCTCTACCCTCAGTTCAGCAATTACAGTCTGCTCCAAACTGAATAATCTCTACCTACCGCCGTAGCGCAGACTCTTCCTACATGGATGGAAGGGATTTTCCTTCCACGTAGGTAATCCACCTCTTCAAGTGACAGTAGCTGGGTCAATGGAAGGATTTTTCCATTAACCCAGCCACATCTACACCAGGAGTTAGGGCGGCCTAGTTACAGCACTCAGGGGTGTGAATTGTACACACCCCTGAGCAATGTTGCTCGACCAATCTAAATTTTAAGGCAGACCAGGGCTTAGCCAGTCTTTTCCCCCCTCAGAATACAAAGAGGAACGTTTATTTCATTGCTTCCAAGGCCAGAAGGGACCACTGTGATCATCTAGTCTGACGACCTCGATAACACAGGTCAGAGACCTGCCCCACCATAATTCGTAGAGCAGAGCTTTTAGAAAAAAACACCCAATCTTGATTTAGAAATGGTCAGTGATGGAGAATCTGCCACAACCCTTGCTAAGTAGTTTGGCTGTTAATTACTCTGACTGTTAAAAATGTACACCTTATTTCCGGTCTGAATTTGTCTAGCTTTAACTTCTAGCCATTGGATTACGTCATCCCGGTCTCTGCTGGAGTGAAGAGCCCATTATCAAATATTTGTTCCCTATGTAGGTACTTACAGACTGTTACCAAGTTGCCCCTTAACAAAGAGAAGGTTAAGCTAAACAGAGCGAATCTAGAAAGACAGTAGTAATTTCCATATTACTCCTGCCCACATGAAGTAGGAACATCCAGCACAAAGCACCAGCTATAATTAAGGCCCACAGGAAGAGGAGATGAGCTGCCACTTGTATAGCTTGGCTATTTTAATCATTGTGCAGTCACTATACATCCAGTGGGATGCTATGCCATGGTCTCCCAGAGGAATGACTGGGACCCTTCTTGATACACACACCTTATTAATAACTTGCATTTCCAAAAAACAAACCTCTGCAGGAGCTTCTAAAAGAACGCAAGACTCACAACACCCTGCAAGGTGGATACGTTGGATCATCTCCACTGTACGGAGAGGGAAGCTGGAGTGCAGATTAGTTAGGTGACTAGTGCAAGTTCCTACTAAGTCTGGGGCAGAGCTGAAGCTAGACCCCAAGTCTCCAAACTCTTGGCTTTTTTCTTTAGCAATGAGACCATCGTCGCTTGGCTGGTATAAGAGGCGTTAGAGTAGGTGTTTAAATTCTAGTGGCATATTTGGATTTTTAAAGTGCACTTAATCCGTGTGCTCTACATGCATGTACAGCAGCACACCACCAAATGAACCAGGAAACGCTTCTCTAGAAAAACAAACAAACAGAAATTCTCTCTCTTTGGCAAAAAGCTAAGAGTTTGCACAACAGCTCCGTACCCCGTGGCTCCCATTTCGGGATCTAAACACACAGCTGGACTTTCAAAAACCAGAGCTCCTAAGGGACGTGGCCAGCAGCCACCGAGGACGGTGGGAACTGCCAGGTGCTGAGCGCTTTTGAAAAGCTGTCCCCAAAGAGAGCGCACCCCTCACGCTGGGGGCCAGAGTCTGCCTTCGTTTACAACCCCAGTGAACGGAACGGGGTGGCAAGAGCGTGGCGGAGGGCAGAAACTGGCTCATTCCGCTTAGCGTTTGCGCCCCCGGCCTCCACTGTTTTTGTTTTGGTGCCAGGAGACTGCGGAGCCGGTAATTATTGTTATTAGTAAAAGGCTGTTTCCACCAGACAGCGGGAGTAGAGTTCATAGCAATTCCGTTTCACCTGCCCACTAGCATAGACCAGAAAGAGTCCGAATATGAATAAGGAGGGTCTTATTAAGAAAGGGAGCCGTCCTGGTACAGAGAACAAGAGCCAAGACCATTTTCTGTCTCTCTAGGTACTTGGGCAGCTCCGCTCACCGTTGTGTCCAAAGAGTCGACGCAGAACTATCTTTATCACACTGGAGCAGTGGAGACCCGGGAACTTTCCAATGGCATTTCTAACACAAGCCTAGGAAACAAACTGGCCGTCTAGACAGATGGGGCCCAGACAGATATTCTAGACAGGGACCTTGAGAAGAACCAGGACAACCTGACAAATCAGGCTCACACCCCGCATCCTTCGCCCAACCCCCTTTCTCTGTTACCTGGGTCTCGATGGCGGTCTCTGTCCTTTTCCCAGTTCTCAGCGTGTGGGGAGGGAGACGTTCTTGGCCCGTGTCCTGCTCTTTTATAATCGCTCTCCTCACCCCTCCTGTGATCTTGCCTGTGCAATTCCTCTGCGTCACGGAGCCTCACTTCACAAGACCCCCTGGGGGACATGCGGTCTTGGTGGTGGGACCTGTGGTTTTCTGGGTTTGATAACCAGCTGCTGCTGTGGTCCTGAGCTGCCTCCAGATCAAGACTGGGAGGTCGCCTCGCTCTCTCCTTGCTCAGTGGCTTCCTGTCTCTCTGCTGCTGGCTTTTGCTGTGGCCCCAGGCTGCCTGGTCAGTCTCCAGGTCCAGTTGAAGAGCAGGAGGCCTCCGAGGCCTTTCCTGGCTCAATGGCCTTCTTTCTTTTTGCTCCCAGGTGGCACATCCCATCTCTGTGCCCAGATCAAGGCTGGGAGGTCTCAGAGGCCTCTCCTGGCTAGTTGGTTTCCTTTCCTGCCGCTTCCAGCTGCTGCTGTGGTCCCAGGCCTTGCATTCAACTGGTCTGTCCAGATCAAGGCTGGGAGGTCTCCTGAATTTCTCACGGCTCAGTGGCTTCCTTTCCAAGCTGCTGCTGCGGTCCCAGGGCTCATAGTCAGCTGTTCTGTCCAGGTCAAGGCTGGGAGGTCTCCGAGGCCTCTCCCGGCTGGCTGGTTTCCGCCGCTCCCTGCTGCGTTGGTTGCCGTCCCTGGTCTTGCTCAGCAGAGGAGAGCTCTGAGACTCCTTGGCGGCGGGGTACTCGCGTTCAGTGGCATTATCAGAAAGAGCCAGGGAGGCTCTTTGGGGTTCTCTCCGCTCACGCGCGTGCCTGTCACCACTCCGGGCTCTGCGGGGCCTCGAATACTCAGAAACCTGCTCCCTGGAGCTACCCCTCAGGTGGTCTGAGCGACGAGGGATGGGACAAACAATGAAGCAGGTTAGTGACACACAAGTTAATGCCAGCGAAGAGGGGCGAGCTCACGCAGCAGGCGATGGCACAAGCGTGACACGGGATTAGCGGAAAAGGCAGCTCCACATGGAAACAGGTAAGATGGGCAGCACAAACATGCAGGGTCAAAACAGGAGCCTAAGGTACAGGTGGGCAGCTGAGAGTTACACAACACAGTGGGGACCTAATTAAGCAGCTAAACTAGGAGGAGTAAGTGGTGGACGAGGGACTGACGTGTTGCAGGTTTGGTTTGCTATGCACACAGCCATCTGGATCCTCATCTAAAGCCTGAGTGCCTGAAAAAACAAGGCTGGGTAACTCGAGAGATGTGGGGGGGGCCCTCTCGCTGCCGGCTAGGCTGACAAAGAGCATGGGACCAGCCCATTTCACGGTATTTCCTCACTTCCGATTGCTCCTGGACCCAACCAGAACCAGGTTCGCAGGGGGCAGCTTAATGGAGAAGGGTGTGGGAGAGGAGAAACGTACTCAGGCCTCCAGAAACGTTTCAGTGTCAGTTCTGAAGAGAGGCTCAGATCGGGTCTCAGGTCTTTCAAAACCTGTTTGCCCAGCCCTAGTTTTAGCCATAAGATTTCAGTAAAGGGGGAAAAGAAGACCACCAGTATGTGTTCTCATGTGGGAGGAATAAAGCTCCATGCTGTGAAATTAAGACAGCTTGGAGACAGGCCAATTCTACCTTTTTATAAGCTCACCCATTACCATGGTATCCGAGCACCTTGCTTGAAAAGTAAACGGAGACTAACAACCCTCCCTTTGGTGAATCAGAAAGCAGGAGGTCTGAGGGCCTTAGTTCCCTCATTAGAGAGCTCAAGTCTAGACTCTAAGTATCACTGTGGAAATTTAAAGGCCAGATGGTACTTGACAAAACTTACACACTGAGTTCAGAAAATGGTTCCTGACCTCAGCAATGTAGTTTTAAAAAAAAAACATTCCCCTTGGTCGTTTAGCAGATTTGCTTCATCTGAGCTTTCCACGAAGCGGGTGGAAATCCTCTTTGGTTTTGCTTTCACAGTGATAACTAGATACAAATGTTTAACGGTGGGGGAGTTAGACGTGTGCCTGCCCACAATCTTCTGTTCGATTTAATTTCTAAGAAAAGTCACGGGGCAGAGGGAAGTGCTCCATGCAGCAGTACGGTGCAGCATTCAGAGCACAGCCATGAAAAAGAGTTCACACTAAGCAGAGATGACTGTAAGCAGGATTGCAGCACAATGAAACAGCGAGGGACTTTCCTTCTCCATTGTGGACACAGTTTCATAATAGCTAAGAGAGACAAGGTGGCTGACGTAATCTCTTTTGTTGGGCCAACTTCTGTTGGTGAGAGAGACAAGCTTTCAAGCTACTCTGAGCTCTTCTTCAGGTCTGGGCAATGTACTCAGAGGGTATGTCTACACTGCAATGAAATACCTGCGGCTGGCCCGGGTCAGCTGACAGGGCTTGGGCCGTGGGGCAGTAAAATTGCTGCGTAGCTGTTCGGGTTTGGCTCTGGGACCCTAAGCCTGGGCTCCGGCCACCTGCGCTGAATATCTACAAAGCAATTTTTAGCCCCACAGCCCAAACCACACCTGGGCCAGTCACGGCCATGCCCTGAGTCTTTTATTCCAGTGTAGACGTAACCAGTGTCTCACAGGTAAATACAAAGCCCAGGCTTGCCAGGGCCGATTAAGTCTGCTGTGAAAAGTGACAGCTGTATGTTTGTTAATAACACTTTTCACAACAGACTTACTCATGAGCAATAAACAAACTACAATGATTTGGACGTGTATATGCGCATATTTATTTGGTTTACCTAAAGCTAAATTAAGTATTTCAGGAAAAAGCGTGAGAGCGGCCACCAGCAAGAGTTGGTGGCCGCACTCTGAGGCCACCAAAATTTTTCCTGAGTACCCCTGCTCTATGCTGACGGGAGAGAGCTCAGTTGGCTTAATAACTCCACGTCCGCGACAGGTAGTGCCTATGTCGGCAGGAGAAGCTCTATGGTCGACATAGTGCTGTCCACTCCGGTGCTTAGGGTGGATTATTCACACCCTTGAGCATTGTAAATTATACCAAAGTAATTTGCAGTGTAGACATAGCCTGAGTACCTTTCCCAGACCTGGAGCAGAGCTCTGGGTAAGCTCAAAAGCTTGTCTCTCGCATCAACAGCAGTTGGTCCAATAAAAAAATACCACTTCACCCACCTTGTCTCTCTAATATCCTGCAGCCAACATGGCTACAACGTTGCATAGGATAGCGAAACTCATTTTAAGGTGGCTCTATTGCACATCCTTTGTGTTCTGTTTTAAGGAAAGCACAATTAAACTGTTACTATCCTATGAAACAAGGAGCCAGTCTTGGGGATCAAAACAACTGGGTCTCTTTAAATCATACTGTTTAGAAAAATCTCTTCAAAGTTATAAGAAATGCAGCCTACTGCAAACCAATCTTGAAAGCAAATCTGCGTGACTTCTATACACGATAGATATTGATTTTAAAAACAACAAACAAAAAACCAAGAGCTGAAAGGATGAGTATGGCAGTGTCTGTTAAATGGTGAGTTTTCCTGGACAATTTCAAATGGCGAGTGTTATCTGCAGATGATGGATAGCGGTTTAAAAAAAAAATGATCTGGATGATTTACTGAACAGTGATTAGAAATGAAAGGAAAGCCGGGAGTCAGTTTCTGCACAACACTAACTAGTGCCTACAACCCAGCATCACCTATGATTAGTTTAATCTTGTCTGCACAGCTTAGGAAAAAAGCAAAAACAAGCCAACCAGCCACCTCTGACAGGGAGAAGAAAGGGAAGGACGGCATGAAATGCTGAAACTTGGTTGGGAAAGGATTGTTTCTGTGTGGGTAACTCCGCCATGCCAGACAACCTGAGCAGGAGATTTGGTGTCCGTGAATCTCAGGACAGTTAGCTTCCACCCAACCTGCAGTTACTGTGGTGCCCTGCAGTAGATGTAACAGAAGCACTCTTAGGGGTTGGTGCCACTTTATCAAACATTAAGAGACAGGTGAATAGGACAATATTTTCCAAGGCATAGATGCTTCCAGGACAGAATCTCTCTTCTTTTGTATTTATTTTTCCTTTTAAAAATAGGGATGGTTCTGAACTAGAATCTCAGATCCACACCCACTCTGAATATGGGGGAAGCTTGGATACAGATCAGAACACTTTGCAGATAGGACCCACATCAAGTGAGGATAATACAAACCAATAACATTGGGTCCTTATCACCTGGCACTCAGGTACTTCACAGGTGCCAGAGCAACATGCTAGATGCTCTCGGTGCTTCTAGAGAACCCACTACGGTTAGCTATCTAGTTGCTAAATGCAAGGAGAAAAAAGGCCATTATTACTGGATGATTAAGGACCTTCTACCCTGCCCCTCCCATGGTTGGATCATGTTTCTAGACTGTAGATCATGACAGGTGGAAGAAGTCTGGTGGGAGGGAAATGTCACCATGCCATTTTGCAGCCTCCCTTATGATATCCTGCTCTCCAGGTGCATCACGCATGGTGCTGCATATCTTCTTAGCATACAGGTTCAGAGAATCATAGATCTTTTCCATCTCTAACTTCTGCTATGAAATCTAGCCAATCCTCTCACCCCAGCAAGAGCAAGATTATTCCCCTACAGCATGTCTCCCATTGACTTGTCAAGTCGAATTCTAAAAGCTTCCAGCAGGAGGTCCGTCACCACTTTCATTGGGAGAATATTTTGTGTAAGGTAGATCTCATCATTCTGACGTTTCCATCTAGTTGCTGCTACACAGTTTGTGGTATGAACTTTCTGGCCATCCTAAAGCTTATTTCTGACTGAACTTTAACTAAACATTTTACTTGTGAGGGCAGATGAAATATTTAATAATCAGACACAGTTCTTAAGGTCATAAATCAGAGGTCTGCTCTTCAACTGTGCAATTCCTGAATCAAAAATGGCAAATCCTTTCCCAACACACATTTTCAGGAGGAAGAACGTCAGAAAGAACCGCAACCAGCAAATAGAGCAATTTTCACGCTGTTCAATAATTAAACACCCTGATTCTCTCCTGACCTGGAGGGAGGTTGTGTTTGATCATAAAAGCAGGTCCCCAAGGAAAAACAGCCCTGCAGATTACATTCTTTCCATGATTAACAGACCGGAGTGATCATCTTGGTGAAGATGTTCTTTGGAGACCCTCCTGTTTTTCAGTAAGTCATACCAGTTGAATATACTGGTTCTAATGCTGGATACATACCTGATAGGAATTCTGTTTGAAAGGCCACTCCATAGACCTGTTATTCGTTACACACTTACACCACTGCGGTATTTCAGATGACACCAATCAAAAATGGAAACACGGTCCTTAAAATTGAGGTGTCTAAATCACCTTAAGCTTTCTTGTTAGTACACTCCACGTTAATAAATTAGACACATATACTGTCTGCCACATATCATCTTTAACCACAAGCAGGTTTTACACACATACCGTCCCAACCCTATAACCCATTTTAACGGAACATTAAAATAAAAATGGGAACAAGAGCTTTATCTAATCTCCCGGTTTTAGCCTAGGGCCCAATAAGTCAATAACAAAACCCCAATAGATGTCACTGGGTCGTTAAGCAGAGCAGAAGAAATGAATTTAAACCAAAATCCCAGCTCTCCCAGCAGGAGGTCAAACTGTCTAGCTCAGGATCACCAGTACTAGCGTGTGATCCTTGCACTAGAGAGGAAAGGTTACCTCCGTTCTCTGGGTAGTAACTGTCCTCATGAGCGGTGTGTCCCTGGGGTTCTGGGTAGTGCTTTTTACTTTTCTTTTCTTCCTGCAGTTCCTTCTGCTGTAGGATGCGGGCAATGTCCTAGAGGTGGAGGAGAGACAGAGTCAGGACATTTCCCGAGAGCACTGGGAATTCTCTCTCTCCTTCACTTATTATCACCAAGGAGACAATAAGTCGTACCTTCAACAGCTGTGGACGCCTCTCCTGCTATTAGCATGAACAGAATGCTGTAAGTAACAATCCTTCACATTTCTGAAGGCCCCCAGCTAAAGATTCCAATGAGCATCACAGACTGTGAATTCACCCTCCCAACATTCCAGGGATTTAGTTCATTACCCGCAGTTTACACAAGGGAAGACGAAGGCACAGGGAGAGATCAAGCAACAACCTGACCCACATGCTGGCTGGTACACCCCACAGCTCTCTCTTACCAGAGGGAATGAATGAGGGGACTACATGGCTCCGTCCTCCTGTCCTTTGCTTTGGGGACGAGGGATCCTGCAGGACACCCTCTTCCCCATCAACCCCCCAGTGCACAAATAAGCATGCCAGGAGCACCAGGGAGTGAATCAGCATCGACTGTGCTATGGTGTGCTACTCTCCGCTGTAGTTGTGAATATCTGAATGGGTTAATTTTAGCTACTGCCGGCAGTAAGTATAGATTTTATTTTACATGAGGCCAGTTGTAGGTGCACTGGCAGAGTGGTTAAGGCGTTCGGCTCCAATCCCGGAGGCCGTGGGCTCGAGTCTCGCTCGTTCTGACACTGAAAGGCCACCTCCAATTACAAAATGGGCACCGGCTCCACGGGGTTAGGGCTCCATGGGGACCATGTCGCTCCCTTGCGGATAGTCAGCTGTGAAACTGATGTGCCTTAACCGGTCAGCCTGATGAGCCATTGGCTCAGGGAGCTTTGACTGTTGTAGGTCTGAGCACCGGCCTGGCAGCCAGGAGTTCTCGAGTCCTATTCCCAGCTCTGATGCAAACTCCCTTGGTAGAGTCAGACAAGTCACTGGTGTCTCACTTTTCCCATCTGTAAAAGGTAGTTCCACCTCCTCACATTCAAATCAGCAGGTCTCCAGCCTTAGCCACATACAGATCTTGCAACTGCTCCTCAAACACCCAATGGAAGCAGAGCTCGAAATGGCTGTAGGAGGATTGGAACTGCCATACTGGACCAGAGCTAAGGTCCATCAATTCCACTATGCTGCTTGAACAGTGGCCACTGCCTGATGCTTTAGGGGTAGGTGCAAGAAACTCTGAAACAGTCAATCGTGGAGTAACCAGCCCAGAGAGGAAGTTTCTTCCTAACCTGTTAGTTACTGGTTGCCTTATGCCTTGAAGCGGGAGGGTTTACACATCCAATCAAAACACCTTTTTTTAAACCCTCATATCAAATGTGTCTGGAGATCTTCTCAATAACTATCTGAATGAACGATCCTTTTTTGAATCCTACACTAAGCTCTTGGCTCAGTATCTTCTTGTGGCAGTGAGTTCCACAGGTAAATTATTAATCGTGTAAACTACTATTTCTTGTATTGGGTTTAAATTTGGTGCCTTTCCATTTCACTGAATCCCCTTTATTTTATATTATAAGAATGGCTCATTAGGAGCACCCGATTCACTTTCTCGATCTACTTTGGGTTGTATATACTTCTACCCATCGCCATAGTATCTGAGTGCCTTCCACCAAACAAAAAAATATCAAGAGCGATACCAAAATCCCTGTCTGACCCTTCTCCCTTTTTCAGGGTCAAAGCTCTGCTTTGGTAGTTAGTTGGGGTGGTTTTTTTTTCTCTCTTTCTCTTTTCTTTTTTTTGTGGGGGGGAGGGGAGGAGTTTGGGAATAGAAGGGGGAGTATTTCCATCCCTACAGCCTTCATCATTTTATAGCCATCTGTCATGCCCCCATCACTTCGGTTATGACCATGGCACCTCCACCTCCCTCCCTGGAGGTTTTTAAGAACAGGTTGGACAAACTCCTGTCAGGGATGGTTTAGATAATATTTAGTCCTGCCTCCGTGCAGGGGACTGGACTACATCAGCTACTGAGGTTCCTTCCAGTCCTACGTTTCTATGATTGTATGCGGAAGGTGCGAGGTGCCCGTTCTGATGTTTGAAGGCGATCACCTGCATTGTCCAGCCCTGAAAGCCAGAATGCCCAAAGCAAGGAAGGCGAGACTGAATTTTCAAGCTCCAGGCTTTCAGGATCCACAGCGAGGCTATTAAAAATAAAACCCTTTCTCACACCCACCCACGCGGCAGTGCAAAGCACCTTCCTCTTATCTCACTGCTTTTCCTCCCACTAGAATAGTTCTGGGTTGCGTCACTGCCCAATGCGAGTTGTTTATTAGCGCCGGGGTTTCCAGAGGCAGGTATGAACTTGCTTCAAACTGGGTGTTAAATACAGGGACTGCTGTACGCCAAGCACAGAAATGCATCAATGTAACGGCCAAGGGCTGGCGGGAAAGAAACGGGAAAGGGATCTTTAGAAGAAAGGAACAGTGCCTGGTGCAGAGGTGTTGCAGCAAACGCTGTCGATGCAGCTCAGCGGACGGGCAGTAAGACAGCAGGGTCTGCCACTTTCCTCATCAGTTTTCCTTCACGATGATTATTGGGAGGGCGAGACTGTAGTGCCTGCGAAGCAACCGGCTGCTTGGGGGCCTGTTCTTTGGGGGACCCCATGTTCTGCAACTCCCAGGGCAGCCTGATTGCGGCAGAGGGATCAGGGCTGGGAGAGGAAAGAGGAACTCAACACTAGATTCTGGTAGCAGGACTGGTGGGAGAAGACGCTGTCTTGGGGCACTGCACATTAAAGGCCAGGACGTGGTGTGCCAAGGCTGATACAAAAGCAGAGGGAACGAATTCAGCTGTCGCCAGCTAAACCATGCCTAGAGATAGAGAAAGCTACAGAAAAATAACATGAGGAATACGTCACGAGGTCCCCCTGGAATCCAGAAAGGCTGAGAATGAACATGGCCAGGCAGGCAGTCCTTATGGTGGGATTCAACATCCCCCATTTTGGAACTGCAGAGAGACGTCCCAACATCCCTGGCACTTGGGCCAAGGCTGCAGACAGCGAGCGGCCATTTTGGCCCCGTGAATCTGCTTTGAACACGGCCACCCAATGGAACCCGGGACACACCATGATTCAGAGCCAGCTCAGACAAGAAGAGTTTCTCAGGAGAAAAGCACCAAGGTCCTACTCTCTCCATTCCATGTCCGCGGGCAAAGACTCTGATACAGCACCGCAGACCATGGTCTCCCTGGCCTCTTCTCTAAATACCCTGCCCTCGTTAGGAGACACTCCCCCACCTGGAGTGAACCCGATGGGAGAGCTGAGGAGAGAATGCCAGCCTACGGGTTTCTCTGCACGGTGCGTTAGTCCACACCGGAGGGATGGAAATTTCAGTCCACACCAGCGTATCATGCGCCAACTGGCCTGTGGACCCTGCTGGTGTGCAATAAAAGTTCCCTCGTGCAAGTGAACATAGGAGCTACATTAGCACTATGTTAATCTAAACTCCCTAGGTTTTTCTCCATGCCCTAGACTGGAGCTATGAAGCAGCTGAAGGATTTTAGAAATGCCAGTCAGGGAGAGGCAATATGGATTGGTGGCTGAAGCAGACACAGTGAGTCAGAGGACCTGGGTGTTACTGACTCACTGAGACACCACGGCAAATCCTTTCTCCTCTCTGTCCCCATTTTGCAGATGAAGAAACTGAGGACAACAGCTTCTTCCCAAAAGTGCTGTGAGGATTTTGAAGTGCTAGCAGGAAAGGCGCTACGAAACTGCAAAAGTATTGTGGTTATAAACACTTCTGGTAAACACGCCGGAAACGCTTCTATTTCTGCTGTGGCATTGAAGGACGTACTGCTGGGATTTAAATTCACACTTGGGATTTCCATTATTTCAGGGTTTAAATCAACCCTTTACGGTAATCTGCATTGTAGGGCAGGTGGAGGCACCAAGTGGCATTTACAAAAACATCCTTTTGCCTGGTTAACAACCACCCCTCCTCTATTGAGTACAGCAAGTCTATAAATAGATCAACTTAAGCATACTACCTATCGGGCTGGGACAGTCCTGGACTTGTAAATCCATATAAGCTGGTTCTTAGAAAGAGGATTTTTGACCAGGTAGGCCAAGTGCTTCATTGCAAAACCCTGTGCGACAGACAGCGGCCATGCCCTTAGCACAGAGCCACTGCAATCTGCACAGTCATAGGATGCTATCAGCGGGACAGGAGTTACCAGATATACTCAGTCAACAATCCACCCTCGTGTACAGTACGACCATAAACAGTCTGGCACGGCTCCAGTGACTTTATCCACAAAGTCACAGCACAGGCTGCAACAGAACTACTAACTAAAGCCCCATCCTGCAAGCTGGTCTCCAGGAATGGTACCCTTTTATTAGGGACATAGGACACAGGATATTAAGGGGTCTCCTGGGTCACCGAGTCCAGTCCCCTGCTAATACGGGCAGCACCATCATATAACCCTGTTCCTAAACGTCACTGGGGTTCTACCCATGTAGGTCAGCTTTCAGGATCGGGACCCAAATCTGCACAGGCTAAAGAACTCCACTACGTGGTTTGTGTCTGTTCTTGCTTTGCACACGGGGTTATGCAGTCCAATCACAGAGGGCCCAATTCTGCCACTCCTGCTGAGAAGCACCTTTCTCCACAAGGAGCCCCCGTGACCCCAATGGGATTCCGGTGGAGCCAGAATCCAGCGTGTGGAATTCTGAACTCCGCCCAATCCATACTACGGGGACAAGTACCATAAATACACCAATATAAATACATGCAAGGGCACTGCTTATCCAGAACATCTAAATAGGGCTCGGGTCTCTCTCCGTCCCTTTACCCAGAAAAAAGGCAAGAACCCCAGGTTCAAGGATAGGAGCGGTCGACAGCCATACGTACAGGCTAATCCAGTGTTTAGTTCATTTCACCGACGTTCAGGTACCTCCCATGTGCCAGGGAGAGAGGTGGAGGGAAAACGACAGACTAGAATAAGACGACAATAATACCACCACCACCTAGCTCTTACCGGGCACTTTTCATCCATAAGATTTCAATATGCTGTACAAAGGAGGCCAGTATTATTATTCCATTTACGATCATTTCATCAGATTGTTAACTGCTGCCCCGACTATGGCCCAGGAGGCACTTGCTGCTTTTAGCTCAGTTCTATTTGTAAAGCCGCGAGGAAGGATGTGGTCTCAGAGAGAGCAGAATACACTGCCCTGGCAAAGCGAAGGGAAGGCTCTGCAGTGCTCCACCCATTGTCCCGCTAGGCAAGTTTACTGCACAAACCCTTTGGTTTGTTAATATCACTTGCTTGTTTCCTGAGGGCACGTTCACACCCTCTTAGCTTTTCAGTGCGTGTCTGGTCAACTGTTGGTCACCTGTTTAGTGTCCTGAGCAGAGATGATGCTTTGGAGTCCAATAAGGCGACAAAAATCAGATTCCCAGCAAGCCGACAGTCTAATTAAAGGGAGAAATTCTGATCTCTAAAGTTCTCCTAGAAACCATACAGTGGTCAATGCCCTCTGCTAGGTTACAACCCCCCCAAAAAGCAAAAGCCGCTAGCTATCACTTGGCCTTTCTTTAGAGTCTTAATTCCTATTTCCCCGAGTTAGAAGAGAGACTGCACATCTGTTACTCTGCAGAGGAGAAGCTGTGCCTCAGAGAATCCTTTTAATAAATAAGGACACTGCTCCCGGGTTAGCAAGGCAACTTTTCCCTCGCTCTGTGGCTTCCCCGGATATATAGCCTGGAAGTTGGGCTCAGCAAAAACGGAGAACATGGACCCTTATGGCCAGCCTGTGTTTTCTCATCCACTGGCTGCACTGGAAGCTGTGTGTGGACACCACCCCAGCAGGCGCTCCTTAAGGGATTATGCATCAGGCAGGCACAGCACATCCTAGAGTGCAAGGCGACTGACATGGCTCTTGCACACCTTGAGCACAAGGACTGATTATACCCCATTCTTGCACAGGGGCATAAGGGACTGCATGAATTCCCCTTGCACAGCCTCTCCCCTCCTGCACATCCACACGGAGCTGGGCACAATCCAACCCCCACCGGGCAAACACACTCTTCAGCGTTGGTTTGGCCAATGGCTGGAATATGCCTGCACTGCTTTAATAAAAACAGCCCCGCTTCCCCCGCATCTGGAAGGGTTACCTCGTCTTTCTCCTCTTGTCTGCGCCGTTGTTCTGCTTCGATCACCAATTTCACCTGAATTTCCTGAGCTATCTCGCAGTCCTGCTGTTCTCTGGAAGGCAGAAGGAGGAAGAGGTTACACACTTTGGACATCAGCCAGACCGCAGAGGCAGAGGAGAAGAAAGGTACAATGGACTCCAAGCCCAGCATTATTATTTATTCTTTGTACTACTGTACCACCTGGGACTCCTATCATGCAAGGTGCTGTACAAACACAGAACAAAGATATAGGATGTCGGCTTTTTGGGCCAGGGACTAAGTGCAAGACACAAGACAGACAGCCGGAGAGTACCAGGAAACAAGGGACAGCATTGGTTGGCATGAGAGGCAGTGGTCCCCAGCACACCAATGGTCCAATCATCGTCAAGTGTTTTTGCAGGCATCATGGCGAAGGAGAGTTTTGAGGGAGGAGGAGGAAGCTGCTTTGTGGATGTTTTGGGGGGGCTCCTCCCAAGCAGGAGGGGCTGCAAGGAAGAAAGCATGAAGGCGTTTGAAAATGTAACAGCTGGTCAGTAGAGTCGGGCAGCACAGGGCGATCATAGGAGAGCATCGACTGCAAAAGAGAGAGGATAGGCAGGGCCTTGAAAGCGACAAGTGGCTTGTTTGCTGCCGTAGAGAATGGGGAGCCAGTGGAGGGGTGACAGGGTGAGAGTTGCAGGTTAGGAAAATGATCTTTGCAGCAGCAGCAGCATTCTGAATGGATGCGAGTGGGACTAGACTGCATTTGTCAAGGCCAGAGAGAAGGATGTGGCAGTAGCGGAGGTGCGAGATGACGAGAGCCTGGACAAGACTTTTAGCTGAACGGATGGCTAGAAAAGGTCACATCTTAGAGACGTTGGTGCTGATTCTTCCTGTGTGATTTGGACAGAGTGTGGATGCGAGGACCTAGAGTGAGATCAGAGTTGAAGAGGACATTGTGGTTCTGGGCTGAGTGACGAGTGGGGTGGTGGTGCTGGCCACAGGGATCGAGAAAGGAGGCAGCAGAAAGGGTTTGACAAAGGGGCATAGAGATTGGGGCTCGGTTTTAGGCATGTTCAACTTGAGCTGGCAGCTAGACATCCCCAAAAGGAAGTCAGAGAGACCGGCTGAGATTTCAGTTTGGACTGAAGGAGACAAGTCTGCAGTAGACAGGTAGATCTGCAAGTTATCAGCACAGAGATGGTAGTTGAATTTGTGTTTGCAGATGAGGTTATCCAGAGATCTGGTGTAGAGGGAGAAGAGAAGGAGACGAAGGACAGAACCTAAATCACTAAGAAAGAATTTTAAACCTCTCATCGATTTTCCATTGTTACTGAGGTTTGCATCTCTCTGCATTTCACTCAGCTCAGGCAGTGAGACTAGCTTGATATGATGCACTTGCGTGTCTGGTCACCTTCACTTTCCAGTTCTCCTGCACTAGCAACATTTGAATTCACAACTGAGTGGGTGTGAAACTTTCCTTTTGGAGCCCTCAAATGCAGGTGAGCTCACCCGGCTCCAAGCATGGATCATGGTTTGGTCTTGGGCAAACCTGATCTAAGCAGGGATTTGCAGTCTCAAGTGAATCCCATGCAAAACTGCTGCCCAACAGGCTACAACGGGGGCGGGGGAAGTGTCTCTCTCTCTCTAACATTCTGGATCCTTTAGGACCAGAAACTCAGTGAAACCTCAGAGGACACGGCACGGATCTAGGAAGAGTAAACCCAAAGGGTCAGATCCTGAGAGGTACCGAGTGCCTGCAATCCCCCTTGACATCTGTGAGCAGAGCTGAGGGGCTCCATTCACCAATGCCAGGCAATCTCCTAAATGTGAAAAACACCCCTTCCCGCAGATGGCTAAGAGACTGCAGCACAGCTAATCATTTCCCCGAGCATGGGAGGCAAAGTCACTGCCTCTCGACTCACAGCACTGTCTAGAGTGCTTGGCTGTGTGGGAATGAAAAAAAAAAAAAAAAAAGACACAAAAGCGTTTTCTTGCTCCTGATGAGAGTCTCTTGGAATGCAATATACTAAGCTGTTTACTAACCACTGAGTTGCACCAATGGGTTATACTTTCTCTTTCATTGTTTGGCTGGTAATAACTGGGAACTTGGATTAATTGCTTGACGGAGGCATGTCTTTTAAAACTTTCAATGTAGTGAAGATGTTTCCATTTTAATTTAAGTGAACTTCAGCCCCCTACAAGTCAAATGGAAGCAGCAGGTGCCAACACCTCCAGACATCAATTGTCCTTCATCCGCAGATTTTCAGAACAAAGCCCAGTGGTTCTGGCTAATGCGTCCTGGGTCTATGCTCCATTTTCACTGCATTACTTTTAAAAATCTGTTTCATGAAAATACTTCTGTTCATATTAGCTCTGGCAAATAATTGGAACAGGGTAGTGTGGCACCAAGAGAAAGGGTGGGGAAGAGATCAAATAAATTTAAAATGGTCCCTTTAACAGATGCTTCATGGGATTGGGAGCAATCCCGTGAAAAGCACAATTACATACCAGCTCAGGTTGTGCACTCGGGGGGGTGTGTGTGTGTGTGTCTTCCCCAGTTCTTCCTAACTTTGGAAATCTAGGATTTAAAAAAGCCTCAGAAAGCTAGGAGATTAAAATATTGATTTCTTAAGAGACTGTCCGTTCCTGCTTCCTTACTCCCCAATCCCCTTCCAATGGGAAATCCTCCAGGTTTAGCTGTGGTGCTGAAGTCATTCTCTAGACAGGGCTCAATGCTCACAGGCAGGAAAGAGGCAGCAGGAGCCGACAGAGGATTAAGAAAGCGAGATCCAGTTGCACACCCATCACATCCCCAGCCTTGCACATCTCTTCTGGCAGAGAGGCTGGAGTACACAGGAGTGGAACTGCTGCTGACGAGATGCTTTTCCAACCTTTAGCAGGGAGCTTCAGCCGTTCTGCCAGCAGAGCAGCTTGCTGGGTGCCAACAGCATCAAAACCTGCTGAGAAATGGGGCTAGTCGGCAAATAAGGCTGTTCGCTGTAGACGGTCACGTGAACCTCGTGCGCACACACACGCTCAGGCAATTTACATGTTCAGAGTAGATAGCGGCTAGAAAAATAAGTATGTATTTTATACACACATACATTCACTCTTCCTTCGCCTCTATTCAGCCAAAGTGATTTAGGGACATCAAAACCGACAGGGTGAACAGGGAGTTAAACGCTTAGGTCAGAGAGTGATTTATGTTTGTCCAGGCACGAAGTGAAACCCTTGCTTTCCTCGGAGAGATTTTTATCTAAGATTAAGGAAAACAAGAGAAAAAAAAAAAATCAAGTCTCCATGGGAGAGGGCGAGTCGCCTCTGAAACATGCTGCATCACAAAACAGCGTCTGCCTCCACAAACTCCTAAAACCTGACAGCATAGTGCAGAGGGAGCAAAGTCAGAAGATCCACTACTCAGTAGCACAAACACTCCCTATGGGAACATGCCCATATCTGCAACTCTTATAACAGGGGGATTCAGCACAATACATGGCATTTTTGTAGCACTTTATATGCTCAAAGCTACCCCAGACATTCGCCAGCAGTGACGAGGGTGGCTAAGTTTCCCCACTTCACAGACAGGCCAAATGAGACAAAGGAAAATGACCTGCGCGAGGCCAGGGGGTGAATCAGTTGGCAGAGCCAAGACTAGAACCCACAACCAGAGCTGGGTGAAATTTTTCTGCCGGAAAACGTTTTTCAACCATAAAAAGCAGATCCGAGTGGACTAACCACGCTACCTGCCATAAGCTATGGATCCAGTTAGAGCTTACAGACATTGATTTGTATTCCGTACAGGGGAGAGAGAAACAGGAGCACAAGAAGAGCAAAAAGGTTGACTGTCCCTGGCACGGACTCGGTTTGCTAATGATCAGCTGAAAACACCGCAGCAGCTCAGAGGGCAGCGACCCTGTGAAACAAGCGCTTGCGCGACTCTACCCCCCACTCACATGTCTTTGTAGCGCTTCTGGATTTGGGCCCGTGCTTTCAGATCCTCCTCTTCCTGAAGCTGCTTGGCCACCTGCAGGTCATGTTGCACCAGGCGGTTGCGCTGAACGTTTGTTGCCAAGTGATGTTCAACTGGAAAGAAATGGAAGAGGAACGTCAGTATCAACATTGCTATGTAAATGGACAGGCGGGCTTAAAAGAGGATGTGCTTTGCATCAGGGAAATGCCAGGCAGCACCTGAAATGATGGGAGGGGTTCTCCCGCGGGCGTAGGTAATTCACCTCCTTGAGAGGTTGTAGCTAGGTCAACGGAAGAATTCCATCCGTCTATACCGAGGGTTCAGTTGGCTTAACTATGTCGCTCAGGTGTGGGGGTTGATGTAACTTTTTAGCATAGACCCGGCCTAAGTAAAGGGAAGCAGGTTTTGAACTGGGACAGCCTCAATTCGTTACAGTGCCTTTTTACCACATTGAAAGGGCTACTTATGTCCATTCCAAAATGAGATCTGCTCATCTTAGGGTTCACCACAGAGCTCAACACGATCCTTATTAGATTAATCTCTTCATTTTCACTACAGAAGAAATTGTAAATAGCCATAACATGATTGGCTCGCTAAAGTCATTCCTGCCCCAAACTCAGAGCTGCAACGAGCGACTAAGTAACAGATAAAGCAACTGGACAGCATCAAGGTAAAAAGGACGACCAAAGTTTCCAGGACCCAACCTGAGACATCTTAAAGAGGCCTGATTTTCAAAGGACAGGTGCTCAACACTTCTGAAAATCAGACTCCTTTAAGGTGCCTCAGGCTGGTCGCCTAAAACTTGAGGCTTCTGAAATCTTTAGGCACTTTTGAAAATCTGGGCCAATATTTTAAAAACAAAAACACACCACTGGTGTAAAGTTTTACCAGAACCACCTTAAAGAGATTTAGGCCCAAAGAGATCACTTCACCCACCACTCAAACGCAGCCATCGCTGGGGTTTAGCATGGCAGCTGTTTAACAGTGCGCAGCAATTGTTAAAGGTAGGAAGAATTATCTGATTCCAATTCAAAGTAGAGTTTTTGTTAGCAACACTGATCTCGTAAGGGGATAGAACACCCAACAGCAAAACCTGTAAATCCCTTATAGAAAACCCACCATTGCTCCAGTGACTTTTCTGCCCTCTGCTTCCCTGTCTCTGCACTTTGGACCCTGCTGGGACAGAGTCAATGCAAACCGACAAACACGAGACACTTACTCTCCTGCTCCTGCAGACTGTGAGCGAGGGTGTGATCCTCCAGCACGGCGAAGTCTCGGCACACTGTGTGGGGGAAGGAGAGTGGCAGAGGGTCAATGCCAGGAACACAAAGGGTTCAGGAGCATGGGGAAGACAAACAGTTGCGAATAAATCGGAGAGAATCTCCCCCACCCCCACCTTCTGAGCTTTCCTTTCCCACTCAGTGAGTAGTTTTAGCATGCACTTCTTTCTCTTGTCCTCACCTTCAGCCCCTATCCATGCCACTGCCTGCATCTCTGCTCACATCCTGCCCTGCCCAGGCTTTCAACACAGCCAGCTCCAAGCATTCGAGAACCATGAGACAGATGCAAAAAGGGAGATTCATCACGCTCTTTGGATTGGTCTTCTGGCTTTTGCACCTTTTGGGGGTCACATGTGCAAACTTGTTCTCTGCAACTATGTGCTAAAAGCTGAGATTCTGTTGCGTTCACTTAACTTCAGCGTTCAAAGGTTTAAGACAAACAACGAACACGTGAGACTCACCATAAAACCACGAGAGCGGTCAATGCTGTGCAGTGTTGCCAGCACTCAGGATTTGGTCATGATAATTAGTGTTTTCTGTAAAGCCCCAGCTCCTGGAGTCAAGTGGATATCACAGGTGGGCAAACTATGGCCCGGGACCATCCTGCCCGGCTCTTGAGCTCCCGGCCAGGGAAGCTAGCCCCCAGCCCCTCCCCTGCTGTCCCCACTCCCCCCGCCGCCTCAGTCTGGGCGGCGGGGCTGCAAGCTTCTGCTGGGTGGCGCGGCTGCCAGTCCTGCTGCTCTGAGCAGCATGGTAAGAGAGTGGGGGGGCTGGATAAGGGGTAGGGGATCCCGGGGGCGGTCAGGGGACAGGGGGCAATTGGATGGGGGTGAAGTCCCGGGAGGGGGCGGTCAGGGGACGGGGTGTTGGATGGGTCAGAGGTTCTCAGGGGGGCAGTCAGGGGGGCAGGAAGTGGGAGGGGGCGGATAGGGGCCAGGCTGTTTTGGGAGGCACAACCTTCCCTACCTGGCCCTCCATACAGTTTTGGAACCCCGATGTGGCCCTTGGGCCACAAAGTTTGCCCACCCCTGGGATAGGTGGTGATTTCAGCCTTGTTTCTTAAAGAAAAAGTAAGCGCCACAGCCACAAAGGCTAGAGAAAAAGCTTCAGAATGTGACACCCCCCCCCCCCCCCCCCCCCCCCAAACGCCCCAAAAGCAGAAGGCAAATAAACACCAAATCTGTTATTTTTACAGGATCTTGTGATTTTTAAAGCCAATCTCATGATTTTTGTGAGCCTGACTTATAGTTTTTGAACATTTGGGGGTGGCACTACTGTCTCAGGCCCCTCCCTGCTTTGCCACCCTGAACTCGGGAGTCAGACCAAGCTGAGTAGGGTGGGACTTGGTCAAGGGTTTGAATTTTTTCCCAATTCCCACCCAACCCAAGTCCTTGGGACTTTTGGGGGGAGAGGGAGGGGGGGGCAGGGTAGCTTCAAATGATTTGATTTGAAAACTAAAATGAAAATACAAGTACACGTTACTTTTTGTTTAAGCCTCTCTCTGACAGGCTGATTTCAGCTCTCCTGTGTGTGGCATGTGCGTGATTTCCTTTGAAATGTACAGCGGGTAAGGTCAGGCTAACGTCCACCGGTGGTGACTCCTTGGAACCGACTGGGTGAGGTCCAACCATGTGGCATTAATCGACTATTTTCGCTCAGTGCCCCAGAGGAGGGCAGGAAACAGTAATAATAAACAGCCCTCTCCAAGTCAGTGAGAATATGCTCTTCATGCACACTCAGTGTCAACAGACCTTTCCTACTGTAGCACCCAGTTGATCAATTGAGGGGATTCTTGCCCACAGGCAGAGGGGAGTATCTAATCCCCTTTGCACAGACATCTCAGACCACACCTGCGCCTAGGTGGTATGACGGATTTATACTGGAAGGGTTGGAGCCTGGCGGGGCTGGCCTTAGGGGTGGGTCACCTGGGTGACTGCCCGGGGCGCCGGTAATCTAGGGGGCACGGTGCGGCAGTGTAGAGGTGCGCACTGCCAGTGCACAACCAGAAACTGCTCCCGGCTGGCCGGGGAGCGCCGTGGGGGGGGGGTGCCAGATTTCTCCCTGCTCCCTCCCAGCCGAGGAACATGGGGAGGGGAAGCAGTGACGCAGAGATACTGCTCAACCCCCCCCCCCCCCCCCGCAAGTTTCTCCATGTCCCCCAGGGGTGCAGGGGTTAGGGATGAAGGGTTGAGGACACGAGGGACCAGGGGAGCCCACAGGGGCTAGGAGCGCTAAAATGAGTTCACTCAGCGTGCCATTTTCCCCTAAGGCCGGCCCTGCCTGGCTCCAACCCTGTGGGGAGGTTTGTTGGTTTGTTTACAAAAACTCAACATTGTCTGTGGAAAAAATTGACAGAAAAGATTGGGGGGGGGGGGCGGGAGAGGGAAAGGGTTGGGGGGGGAGAAGGACTTAAGATTTCAGCAGGAAAAAAACCAACCCATTTTCCAACCAGCTGTACTCAGCACCCTGAAGGATCAGGCCTAGGAGTGCGGGCTCCCATGGAAAACAACGGCAAAACTTTCAGTCAGTGCAGGCTCAGGTCCTTAGCACAAGCATAAGGCAGCTCTCAGTATAAATTCTTTAAAAAGGAACTGAGAATGGCCTGGAGACAAACTAAACAGGAAGAGGTTCACCCCGCCTCCCTCCGGCTCCAGTCTGGGAGGAACATGTTTTGCATGTCACAGCTTTGGAAATGCCTGACACTTTCACACTTCGAATTTCAAAGGGGTGCTATTTCCACAGCATGGGAAAACACTAGGGTTTATTTTTAACTTGTTATGCTAGCCAGCAGAGTAGTAACACACTCTCTTTCTCTCATACACACACACTTCAGTCTCTCCATAGTATGTATGTGCCAACATCTGTATGAACTGAAAATAAACTGACTCGTGCCCCCAACCATGCAAAACATGGGCCCGATCCTGCAGGTCTTCCATGCACTGGGTATCTATCCAGCGTAGTGGGAGTTACGTGCAGGACAGCTTGCAAAATCAAGGATAGAGAATTATAGTACTTCGATTTTTCTGACAGGCCAATGCGATGGACAGTAAGACGCAGAAGACGAATCTCTTATATTTATATAGTGTTACCATTCCAAGGAATCATAACTATAGCTGGGTAAAACATTTTCAGTGAATAGTAAATTTTCCAGAAGACGCATTTTTCAGGGCTTTTTCCGAAACGACACAGAATTCTTTCCAAATTTATGAGAAAGTTTCAGATGAAAAAAAAGAACAAAAATATTAAAACGGTTTGTTTCAGCCATTTAGATATGAAAAGCTTTGATTTTCATTTTGAAACTTAGCTTAATTTAAAGGACGCAAAATACCCGAACAAAAAATGTAAAACTGGGGGGGGGGGGATTAAAAAATAAAAAAGTGTGTCATTTGGGGTTGAACAAAAACATTTTGTTAGATTCAAAAGGGTGAGACAGCCCTCCCCAGAAAAATCAGTTTTGGTTTTAACCGAATTATTTTTCATTTCATCCTTTGAACTGAAAAAAAAAGTCAATTATTCACACAGCAATAACCACAGCAAACTTTCTGAACCGCTTCGCCAGACACTGCAATGCTGTCACTTCCCGGGTGGAAGTGGCCACTGCTTCGCGAGGATAGCAACAGTTCAGAATCGTTTTGAAGAGGAAGTGGTACACACCTAATACCACAAGGCGACAGGAATAGCTTGGCTGGATGTTTCATCTGTAAGCCAAATCCAGCCAGTGGTGCTAGAACTAGGGGTGCTTCTGCACCCCTGGCTTGAAGTAGTAACAACAAACATCAAATACAGAGTGGGCTTTGGATCAGGCCCTGAATAAGAGTGAGAGTCAGGTGACGAGGACATGGGTTACAGCAGGAAGATCCCACGGTGACTCACTTTAAATGGATTCCACTCTGGATGATTCAATTATGGATTTTGTTTTATAGCAGTAACAAAAATTAAGGAAGATGATACAAAAACACTGACTAATGTTAACTGCCCACAGGAAACAAAGTCATGTATAAATAAACAAAACCTTTCTCTAGCTTCCCAGTTGGCCAGCTGACTGCAAAAAGCACAGTACAATCTCGACTGGCAACGGATGCGCAGGGGAGGCCCAGGACTGGAATAGCAGGGGCTGTGTGTGTAGCAGGAAGCGAACCCTGCACAATCTGTCAGCTCAGTCCCTCATTTTCATATGCACTAAATATACATTAAATTCACAAACATCTGCAAAGCAGCAATCCTGCAGCACTGAACCATCTATCAGAGGATTTCCAAGCACTTCACAAACACTAGAGAAATAAGCCACATAGCTTTAGTCTATTCATTACACAATTGGGTAAATTATTTAGTCTGCAGAAGAGAAGAGTGAGAGGGGATTTGATAGCTGCCTTCAACTACCTGAAAGGGGGTTACAAAGAGGATGGATCTAGACTGTTCTCAGTGGTGGCAGATGACAGAACAAGGAGTAATGGTCTCAAGTTGCAGTGGGGGAGGTCTAGGTTGGATATTAGGAAAAACTTTTTCACTAGGAGGGTGGTGAAGCACTGGAATGGGTTACCTAGGGAGGTGGTGGAATCTCCTGGTTTTTAATGACCGGCTTGACAAAGCCTTGGCTAGGATGATTTAGTTGGGGATTGGTCCTGCTTTGAGCAGGGGGTTGGACTAGATGACCTCCTGAGGTCCCTTCCAACCTTGATATTCTATGAAATCAAGAGACAGAACAAATAAACAACAGGCCCAAGTCTTTAGTCCTATGCTCTATAGATCCTTATACCACACTCATCACCGTAAGCAGTGTTGCCAACTCTCACGATAATTAGTGTTTTCCTTAAAGCCCCAGCTCCTGGAGTCAAGTAGATATGTGATGATTTCAGCCTTGTTTTTTAAAGAAAAAGTAAGTTTCCAACCCTCGTGGCTGTGGAGAAAGCTTCAAAACGTGACCCCAGTGCACCCTAAAGGATCAAAAAGCAGAAGGCAAATAACAAGAACACCAAATCTATTATTATTACATAATCTCATG